AGAAAGAATTAGAGGAGCACATGGCACATGTAATCCCAGCTACTTAGGAGGCCGAGGCAGGAATATTTCAAGTTTGAGGCCATTCTTTTTTTTTTTTTTTTTTTGAGAGTTTTGTTTGTTTTTATTTCACCTTAGAAAATTCATGTTTACAAGCCCTGGCTTGGGTTAGAAACATCCTAACCACCATCCTGTTGAATCAGTCTAAAAAACTGAGGCCATTCTTGAAAATTTAGCAAGAAAATTTAGCAAGACCCTGTCTTGTGTGTGTGTATGGGGGGAGGAGGCAGGCGGGGGACAACGACTAAGAAATAACTGGAATAACCTAAATATCTAAAATTAAGAGACTGCTTAAGTTACAGTACACTCACATAATGCAAGGCTATATGCCATCATGTAATACTTAGAGGAACATAGATTCTAGATTCAGCCGGCCTGCATCTGATTCCTAGCTCTGCCACTTACTAGTTATGTGACCTGGAGCAAATTACTTAACCTTTCCATGCTTTAATATCCTCATTTACAAAAATATGAATGACAGTAACTACCTTATAGAGTTATCTCCAAGGATTAAAATTAGTTAAGTCATGTCAACACTTAAAACAGAAACCTATTTGATAACCATTAAAATTGTTAAAGAAATATACATGGAAAGGAAGGGCTGGGTTGTAGCTCAATGGTAGAGTGCTTCCCTAGCACACATGAGACACTGGATTCGATCCTCAGCACCACATAAAAATAAAGATATTGTGTCCATCTACAACTAAAAATATTTTTAAAATATAAATGTGGAAAGGAAAGATTAGGTAAGTTAGGTAAAATAAGTAGATTATAAACTAGTATTAAAGTTTCCTTTAAAAAAAGGGAAATTTAAAGAACTCCATCAAAGAGTGAAACTTACTGTAAGTAAATTAAAAACGAAATGCAGCAGTAGGCAAAGTCTAAACTACTAAAATCACAGTTAAAGAGCAAAACAAAGCAAACAGGCTGTGGAACCAGCTGTGTGAAATCCCAGTGTGCCATCATCTTCTAGCTTCATGCCCATGGGCAAGCCACCTGTTCTCTGTAGGCTTGTTTCTTCCTAACCGAATGGGGAACAAAGTTCCTTTGTACCTACCTCATGGGGCTTTGTAAGCATAAAGTAAACTCAATTGCATTTACCATTATTCTTTGCATAAATGTGAAGAAAAAGATTTGAGCATAATCATCATAATCTTAAATTTTCTTAGTGGTATTATGGGTATCTAATTTTTGTTAATAATGTCTTAAATGAAAATATATAACAATGTAAACAACTTAAATATAAGCATGCTTCTCATCCTAATGTTCAGAAATTCTATTTCCTTGTTATTTATAGTACATGTGTTGGAACTAAACTGACATTACTGTTAGACCACAAGTCCCTATCCCTTAAATGTCAAAGAAAAAAAAATAGGTGTTGTAACTAATTAAAAGTATTGTCAAAACCTACTCCACAGCTTATAGTAGAGCAAGATCACCGATTTGTTTTCCTTCCTAAGGTTGATTAACAAAAACTATTTATCAGTAATAGAATGCCACAAAAAAGATCTTCCGAAGGTTGATGGAATTAGATCTTAAGAATGAAAAATGACGGATAAGTAGCATAGTCTTGGAAATTTTACTGCAGGAAGGACTGATGTTGACTCACTATTACTGACAAAAACAGGCTTTTTGCTACCCCCATGGCAGTAGTCCTAGAGGTTAAAATCAGTCCTCCTGAGCAATGAATGGAGCTTTATAGTATTTGAAGCAACAGCAACAAACCCAAACTCAGTCTTGCAGGTTTGCAGTGTATACTTCTCCTTTGCCTCCTCAAATTGGTGGTGTGTGCTCAGGCCTCAACAGCCTAATATTGGGAGAAGAGCTTATCTTCTTATGTGTTTGGAGAGAAACAAGCAAGGAAAAAAATGCAAAAAAAGAAGGAGCTGAGAATGAGTGCTGGATGTTCAGACAATTGACCCATAGACAGGCACTCAGGCAAATCCCTCAGGCTAAAATAGAAATATGTTTTATCACTCAGCCCTTATTTTGTAATCTACTACTAAGCCTTTGTGCAGCAGAGAAAGAGATAACCTTATTAGGACTGACCCTCAAATTCTTCAGATACATTGGCTTCTTGAGATCTCTGCATATGTACTTAAGTTTTCTGAGGAAGTACAATCAATAGCCTGTGATGCCAACCCAGCCCCAAAGCAGCTAGAAATTCAGATAAATAAATTACTTAATCTTGTAATTGTCACTATTTAGAAGTACATCTGAGTTTTAGCAAAGCTCAGCAGCTGGTCTTTGCCAAAATTTGCTTGAGTTTAGTTACAAATAGCCCAGAGATTGGGGGGGGGGGGCGACGACAAAAATGACAACAAAGGGCTATTTCAATGCATCTTTTAGGAGAAAAAAATAATCACAATATTCAATGTAGGTAAACTACTTAAAAAATGCCCTTAAAATTTATTTTACTATTATCTCCATGTTATATGAAGGTAAACAGGAAGGGAAGCAGAGGTAGGAAAAAAGACCTGCAAAATCTCAAAGCTTTTTTTGGGGGGAGCGGGTGGGTATCAGGGATTGACCTCAGGGGTACTTGACCACTGAGCCACATCCCCAGCCCTTCTTTGTATTTTATTTAGAGACAGGGTCTCATTAAGTTGCTTAGTACCTTGCTGTTGCTAAAGCTGGCTTTGAACTCGTGATTCTCCTACCTCAGCCTCTGGAACCGCTGGGATTACAGATGTACGCCACAGTGCCCCAAAGCTTCAAGCTTCTTCTTCTTCTTTTTTTTTTTAAAAGAGCAGGTGCCCAGGGCTTCATGGTTTTTTTTTTTTTTTTAGTTGTTAATGGACCTTTATTTTTATTTATTTATTTATTTATTTATTTATATGCGGTGCTGAGGCTTGAACCCAGTGCCTCATACATGCTAGGCAAGTGCTCTACCACTGAAACACAACCCCATTCTTTTTTTTTTTTTTTTTTTTATTGGTCGTTCATAACATTACATAGTTCTTAATACATCATATTACACGGTTTGATTCAAGTGGATTATGAACTCCCGCTTTTACCCCGTATACAAATTGCTGTATCACATCAGTTACCCTTCCATTGATTGACATATTGCCTTTCTAGTGTCTGATGTATTCTGCTGTCTGTCCTATTCTCTACTATCCCCCCTCCCCTCCCCTCCCCTCCCCTCCCCTTTTCTCTCTCTACCCCTTCTACTGTAAATCATGTCTTCCATTTGTATTCTCTTGACTTACCCCTCCTTACCTCTTATATGACATTTTGTATAACCCTGAGGATCGCCTTCCATTTCCATGCAATTTCCCTTCTCACTCCCTTTCCCTCCCACCTCTCATCCCTGTTTACTATAAATATTCTTCTCATCCCTATCTCTCGCCGTGCACAAAAGTTAACTCAAAATGGATCAAGGAGCTTGATATTAAATCAGAGACACAACCCCATTCTTGAGCCACAACCCCAGTCCGCCCCAAAGCTTTTAAAGTAAAAAAAAAAAAAAAGAAAAAGAAAAAGAAAGATAGGGGCTGGGGCAAACAAGATAGCTCAGTGGCAGAACACTTGCCTAGCATGTGTGAGGCACTGGGTTTGATCCTTAGCACCAAATAAAAAGAAACAAAGGCATTCTATCCATCTACAACTATATTAAAAAAAATTTTAACAAAAAAAAAAAAAACAAAACAAGATAGCTGTTTTATAGTTGGCTGTCACAAATCAAAGTGAAGGATGGGGGTGGGGTGGGAAGGTGCCAGCAGAGGCACTCATAGGAACATAGGAGTCAGCAGCCCCCTGGAATTTCTGTCTGGGCGTGCTCTCTCTCTCCATTTAAACTTTGAAATGCTTTGCCCAAAGTCATATAGCAAATTGACAAAGAAATACTGGAAATAAATCTACAATGTTTTGCTGTGCCAAGCATTTTCCAGATTGCATGTTCAAAACAAGAGATATTAAGAAAAGCAGTATATATTGAAACTGCAAGACATGATTTCTCTTCAGTTAGAAGGAAAACAAGCTATTTAAGCACAGCATGGAGAACACTGAAGATGGCAGAGTGATTAAAAGGAACCCTCCCTAAAAAGGATTTAAACTGAAGGCAAGTTCTACAACATGGCCATCTTCAGAAACACTGAACAGAGCTTGATTTTAAGTGTGGATGGTGACTGGGTGGGAGGTCTTCTAATAACCACAAAGTGCTGGCAATTAACAGAAACTTAATAACACCCTTTCTGAGAGTATGCTCCAAAGGCTAAGTTCCCAGGAAACATTTAACAAACAAATGCAGAAAGCTGGCCAAAAGATGCTACATTAGCATACTAGAAAAACAAACGAGAGGTGTCTGTTTTTAAGTTTCCTAACATAAGRTTAACAGGGATCTAATTTGTGCCAAACTATTTCATGGACTAATCAAGTGTTAGTAGCCTGGAGGTTCTACAACTTCCACTCCCCACAGGCAATCACCTGAACTCTGCAGGCCAGATCCTAGACCCTTTCTTCCTCCCTAGGACAGAATTATATTTTAAATTTTATAATCTCTTGCTTTTCTTTCTTCTTTTACCTTATTTTAGAATCCATGAACAATACAGTTCTTTTTGTGTTTCTGTACATGAAATACATGGTAATTTGCAAAGTCCTCTTTAACCTTCACAATGTGTTTCTGAGTACTGCAAGCAGCTTTAAGTTTTTCCTTTTCACAATGCATCTTTCTACTACTGATGCATTTTTAGGCTGTTTCCAATTTTCTGCTATTAACAACAATGCTACTAGAACATTCCTGTATCTAGCTCTTGGAATACAGTTGCACGGGAGTTTCTCACATCTATCATAAATACCTAAAAGAATTGCTGGGGCATACTGTACATTCATGATTAATTTTATTTGACAATACCAAATTGTTTTCCAATGTTGCTAAACCTTTTTACACTCCCTTCAAGCAGTATTCTGAATTTTGGTTAATCCAAAGATTCTTTATCAAACTCTGCCTTAGAACGAAGTTAGACTGGTAAATCACTCTCGATTTTACTTTTAACCATATAATGACTCTTTAAAGAGGTAACACAAAGGGTATCTACTTACCAAGCAAAGGAACTTTATTTTGCAGCAGCTCACAGTAGCTTGTGGTGAGAATTCCAATGGGATTACTTGGTACAAACCTTCCTTCTTTTACCAAACGTTCACATGTTCGCATTAAAGTCCCTGAGAACTGAGATGGGTCAACTCCATAGTCTCTCCATCCTCCTACACCATCTGCGACCCCTAAAATAAATTACATTTAAAGAATATCATCACCAATTTCTCAGGAACTATCACTCCATTTTCTCCTAACAATTAATTTTACTATGCACTAGTACATGCTTACTCCAAATTCAGAATAAAGTGCTCAAATTTAACGTTTTTATATACTAATATTCCTAAATCACATTCTCTGTTTAAAATTTGGTCTTTCATATATTGATGAATAAACTTTTGAGTTACCACAGGGTGGCAATGCCTACCTGGCAGGAATTCAATTTCAGCAGGATTATCTTGAGTTGTAAGTACTGTTGATTTTATAAGAACAAAAACTGATATTTTAAAAGTGCTGACGCTAGTGATAATACAATTGAATCAGAACTAGCAATCACTAAGAATACCAAAAGCAGGGCTTGGGTATAGCTCAGTGGTACAGCATTCAATTAATCTCTAGCACCAAAGACAAAAAACCACAAACAACAATTTAAAAAAACATACACACCCAAAAAGCAGGAGACTTTTAATGCCAGACAGTGGTCAATAACTGTGAAATTTAAAAAAAGAAAGAAAGAAGAAAACAAAACCAAATTTTACACCCTTTCTTCCTTTTTCAGAGACACCACTAACGCTGGAAGGAAGGAAGGAAGGAAGGAAGGAAGGAAGGAAGGAAGGAAGGAAGGAAGGAAGGAAGGAAGGAAGGAAAGGAAGGAAGGAAAACCGAATTCTACACCCTTTCTTCCTCCTTCAGAGACACAACTCTGCTGTCCCACACAACAGCCATTACCATTTCAAGTGCCTGTGGAACACTTGAAATGTATCTGGTCCACACTAAAATGTGCTTTTGAAAACTTAGGATGAAAAAATAAGAGTGAGGGGGAAGGGGAGAAAAAAAAAGAGCGAGAGATAAGTGTCACAGAATAGGTAGAGAGAGGTGATGAGGGGGGGAGGGGAGGGGAGGATAGGGAAGGCAGCAGAATACAACTGACACTAGGATTGCTATATGTATACACATGGATGTATAACCAATGTGATCCTGCAATCTGTACATGTGGAAAAATGAGAATTCATACCCTATTGGAATCAAATGTATGGATGGTCAAGATCATTGTATTGTCTTGAGCAACTAATAATAAAAAAAAAAAAAAACAAGAGTGAAATTTCTCATTAATTTTATACAAAATAATATTTTGGATATAAAGCACTAAAGATATATTATTAGTGCTGGGATTGTGGCTCAGTGGTAGAGCTCTTGCCTAGCATGTGTGAGGCACTGGATTCAATTCTCAGCACCATATACCGATAAATAAATAAAAATTTTTAAAAAGAATATATTATTAAAACTCCATCTATTTTTATTTAATGTAAATACAAAGCCATTTAAAGTTACATATGTGGCTATTATGTTTCTTCTGGACAGCACTAGTGCAGAGAATTCCACAGGTCCACAGAGCTGTTGATGAATTCTGAGTCTGCTTAAGAGTCCTTAATCAAGAGAAAACTAGTGTTCAAGGACATGAATAAAACATCAAAGTTGGTATCATATAATCTCCTCTTCAACCCCTTGCAAAACACTAAGCTAGTTATTCTTCTCGACATTAAAATCAATTCTTGCCTACTAAATTCAAGGGAACTGAGAGAATACGTCAAACATACATATTATTAAGGCTTTAAGTGTTGTTTTTTTTTCTGGAAGGATCTGTAAGAAATATTAATAACAGTTGTTTTGGAAATAAGGAAGTGAACGCAATCAATGAACAAAAGGAAAATATCTGTCTTTATTTCATAGCATCTGGTATTGTTTGAATTTTATTTTTACCAGGAGCACCTATGATTTTCTTTTTTAAAACTGAAAAAAGAATTAGAATTTTCTTGTGCTCTATTACTATGTTACACCCTTCACAGGGATTTATTTATTTATTATTTATTTTTAAAATATTTTTTTAGCTGTAGATGGACACAATACCTTTGTTTATTATTATTATTTTTTAATATGATGCCAGGGTCGAATCCAGTGCCTCATACATGCTCAGCAAGCGCTCTATCACTGAGCCACAACCCTGGCCCCTCTCCACAGGAATTTAAAACATTTTTAAGACTTCGTGAGCACAAAACTCCTTAACCATAAAAACATTTTTTGTACATGCAACTTTCATATACGTCTTTTTTTTTTTTATGGGAGTGGGAGTACTTGGGATTGAACTCAGGGGTACTTGACCATTGAGCCACATGCCCAGCCTTTTTGTATTTTATTTAGAGACAGGGTCTTACTGAGTTGCTTAGCGCCTCATTGTTGCTGAGGCTGGCTTTGAACTCGAGATTCTCCTGCCTCAGCCTCCCGAGACATTGGGATTACAGGATCCGCCATGGTGCCTGGCTTCACATACATTTTTAAAGAGTGCATTTGGTACAAAAATTGCTTAATATGAGGGCTGGGGATGTGGTTTAAGCGGTGGCGTGCTCGCCTGGCATGGGCGGGGCGCTGGGTTTGATCCTCAGCACCACATAGAGATAAAAAGTGGAGATGTTGTGTCCACCGAAAACTGAAAAATAAATTCTCTCTCTCTCTTTAAAAAAGAAAAAAAGTTGCTTAACATGAAACACAAAGCTAATTTTTCTGGTGATAGCAATTATCAAACAAAAAATGGAACACATCCTGAAAAAGAGGAACCAGAACTGGAAGATGAAAAATGGGGTGGCAAAGAACTTATTACCAACCTTCCCCACCTTATGTGGCCAACCAGTAAGCGAAATTTCACTTTGGGGCAATTCCAAACTAGCTGATTAAATGACATGAAGCCTAGGATTTGTTTCAAATAACTCCACAGGGCTGTGGGTGATGGAGGAGTAGATGAGACAAGCCTGGCCATGAATGGATCATTGTTGGAGCTGGATGAGAGATACACTCATCTTTCTACTTTGATATATATTTAAAATTTTCCACAATATGAAATTTAAATAATAACAATGATAATAAAGTTTAAAAAAGAAAAATCCTTCTGAGTGCTGTGTGGAGTAAGAACAGAAGGAGGAGGGCCTTAAGAGGGACCGTAAGCAATCAGTTTCCACCTGACTCCTGGTCAGAGAAAGGCTTGCAGACATTTGGGATCCAAGAAACACACAGTGGACTAGGGACTAGAAGAAGTAAGGGAAAGAACAGCATCAGGGATGTCTAGAAATCTACATCACCAGGAAAATATATCATATTTTACTTTGTTTTACAAATACTTGTATGGAGATTTGGGCCAACTAGTAAAAGATCTTAAGGTAGTATACTAGAAAGTTCTTTTGAGGAATTTTTGCTTTACTGGGGTTAAGATTTCACCACAACTTAAAATACAATAATTTATGTTAAAATAAGGAATACAATTATAGTCCTTGTAACATCATCTGATGAATCATTCTTTTCTGACTACTGCCTGCTCAAGGGAATAATTTCTTCTTACGCAGTCTCTAGTCCAAYAGTCACAATTAACTTTAAATACAATTTGATTTCATCTACAAATGCCCTTCAAAAGAAAACCATTAAAATCTGAGATAGCATTTAGAGTCAGTCTTGGCACTTGCTAAATAATCTGTCAGCAGGTTGAGTCTGACCTGACACAGCCCTAATCAGATTTCTCCCAGAATAGAGCACAACCTTTCAGGCACCTGTTTGCTTTTTACACAGGCAAAGGATCCCAGGCAAAAAGTCACTGGTTAACTCTCTTTAGGAGAACAGAAACTCAAAAAAGTATATAAACTTTCCAAAAAAGATAAAGGAGAGGGGCTGAGGTTGTGGTTCAGTGGTAGAGCACTCGTCTAGCATGTGCAAAGCCCTGGGTTCAATCGTCAGCACCACATAAAAATGAATAAATAAAATAAAGGGATTGTGTCCAACTACAACTTAAAAAAAATATATATATATATATGGGGGAAAAGCCTTAGTATACATCTGCAATTTACGTAAAAAGAACAAGTAATATAATGAAAAGAGTCCTATTCAGGATCAGAATCTGGTGAAAGCCAGAATAACCTACAGCACACGTACATTTGAAATCTAGTTTTATCCGTATTTGGCAGTTAGTTCTATCCAGAAATTAACATGTCCTCTGTTGCATAAGCAAAAGTTTTAGTCCACAAAGAGCAAGAACATTTTTAAACAGTAGAAATGATCAGATGTAAAGGAAATTTCATTCACAATATACTTCAAAGGCAATATAAATAACTGTTGATAGACTGCTTAAGATCCCAAAGATGTCAGCACAGCACCTGTCCAACAGCAAAAGAATATCACTAAGAGCAAACAGACCTAGCTTGCCTGAGCTGCTCCCCTCCTAGTGGGGTGCTTGACTACTTGCACAGGAACCAAACTAATGGCTCCCACAAATGCTGCCATGGAGTGTCAAGAATAAGTGGTGAAAACTGGGGGTATAATTCAGTTGGTAGACTGCCTGCCTTGTATGCACAAGGCCCTGGGTTCTAATCTCCAGCACCACCCACACACACACACACACACACACACACACACACACACACACACACAAAGTGGTGAGGGCCATCAGGACACCATGAGAAGTGGCATTCAGCAGGGCCCTGGAGGGTTGGTCAGATTTCCACAGGCAGGGAGGGTAATGAGAAGCAAAGAATGGCAGGCAACTAGGTGTGGCTGGGGTATGAGTAAGCCAGTAGGCACTGAAAAATGCAGGGCAGTGGCTGATGTTGGAGAGAGCCTAGAATGTCAGTCCAAAAACCTCAGAGTTTATGCTATAGACCTGTACTGTTGAACAGGGAGCTGCTAGCTATTTGAATGTGAAGCATGTCTGGTGTGGACTGAGATATGCTTGCTGTTAGGTATAAAATGCACTCTGGATTCCAAAAACTTAGTACCACCAACAAAAAATTGGACAATATCTTACTATGTTGAGTATAAAACAAATATAATAAAATTTACTGCATCAGTTTCATGTTACTTTTAAAATGTAACTTCTAGGAAACTTAAGATGACTTATGTAATTTGTGGTACATTCCTATTGTGGACAATAGAA